AATACCATACTTGTACTTTTACTCGTTACTTTTTAAAAGTAACGTTGCCATATATGATTAAGAGTGATACCAACTATGACTGAAATCCTCAGCACAGTTTCTTATAGGTAGTTTTAGTTAACTACCTTGAAAATTTCACAGTTTCTTTTCGGTAGTCTGATCAAACTTCTATGAAAGTGACTTTAGAAAAGAACTATTTAATGATAAAATCTAGTAAAAATAAAAAAAGTGGTAGCAAATATATGTTTAAAATTTTTTTTTTAATTTATGAATATTGTTGTTTTTTATTTATTTGTCAACCACTACTGATTCAATTCTCAAACATATATGATAAATTTCATTCAGTTACTTATAAAATAGAGTTTGTGTTCATGCGCACAACTGGTTCACGTTTTTAATAGTCTGCGCAGACTACTTAGATGCAGTGTGGAGGCTATACGTACCACATGTGGAATTCTGAAAATGTAAGCATAATATTGCGTGGAATCAAAATTTTTTATTCCGAATTTTTTTTAGAAAAGAATTAAAATTTATTGAGTCAAGAAATAAAGTTGAAGTATTACTATAAAAACGTATTATTTTTCATTTTTCCACTTTTAGCCTTTAAACTTTTCAGACCTGATACTTTGGCCTGTACATCCTGGAAATTGGTAGCTAAATTCTGAAAAATATACATACTTATATATATTCATATCTGACAAAAATATTTTCACTTTCAAAAATATTAGTGACGTGAAACTGATTTAATAAAAAAAAATTTAATGTTAACTTAAACAAATTTTAAGCAGTCTTGAGAAAAGTTTAAAACCATTTTTCAAGTTTTTTCTCTTTTTTTTTCAAAGTTGTGGGTGCCTTGCATACGATGAAATATCCTATTGGTCATGAAGAGGAAGGATAAAAATTAGGAATTGACTGTTTTATAATTATCTGGATTTAATCATCTTAGAAACTTATTTAATAATCGGTCTCTATGAATAACTTTTGAACTATTTGAACAATCGTTACTGTTTTGGTGTCATTTAATTCATTGTGCGAAAATGGGTTGGAAAGAATGCCTTGATAGACATGCCTAGATAGCAGCATCAAAGATATTTTGAAGAAGAGATATTTAGCAAAAATTGTTATTTAAAATTGTTCTGAAAATATTATTCTTTAGAATTTAGAGCCTGTTAATTGATTTTAGAATTTTTTCTCACTCATTCAGCCCTTCTGTTGATTCAATTGTCACTTTAATTAATGAAGTGAGTATAAAATGTTTTAATTCATTGCATCATTCTAAAGTCAATCAATCAATCAATTCGTGGATATCTTCTCACGATTCGAACTGTTTCATTACCCCATTGGCGGTTATTTATACCGCCGTGATCAGAAACAACACATTGATAGATATATCTTTTCGAAGGAGGTCACTCTCCTTATCTCAGTATTTCCGCACCCTCAACATTTGACCCAGGCGGTCTAAAGTTGATTAACAAAAACCCTCTGTTGATATCTTGTTGATAATGCCATAAAGTGATGACTGGCGGTCCTTTGAGGGCGTTTGTGAAAGTTAAAAAATCAAACATTTTAAATTTAATAATAAAAAAGGGGGAAAAGAAGCAGAGAAAATGATCTCTTTTATATTGCTCAATAGATATAAAAGAGAGATTGAGCAACGTGAGATATTACTGCACCACTTCAAATGAAATCAATTACTTCAGCTGTAAATAAACAATGGTCTGTTTGTGTTTTAAGTTCTACCTCTATTTTGAAATGTATCTTGTTTTTAGCTTCCCTGAATTGTTTCTTTTTATCGTTAGAAATAATGTTGTTAATAGCCATTATTTTTGTTTGTTTATAAGTTTTATTACTGGTCGTGATGACTAAGATTCTATATATTAACCTTTAACTCACTGGCGTTGCTTTAAAGTACCGCTTTCATACTACAGAAAATAAGACAGTTTTAATATAAGCTTTTGAATCGATTGCTCAATAGGAAGATAATTCTTTTGTAAGTACATAAACTATGGTCTGCTTCTGCTAAAACTCCACCTTCATTCTGAAATGTATTTCAAGTTTCCCTGAAGTTTTTCTTTTTATCGTTAGAAATAATGTTGTTAATAGCCCTTATTTTTGTTTGTTTATAAGTTTTATTACTGGTTAGGATGCCTAGAATTCTACACATATTAGCCATGCATCCATTTTTCGACGTTGCTTTAAAGTACCGTTTTCATATTACCGACTATAAGACAGTTTTAATAATAGCTTAGGAATCAATTGCCCAATAAGAAGATAATTCCTTTGGAAGTAAATGAACAACGACCTGTTTCTGTTAAAATTCTACCTCAATTCTGAAACGCATCTTGTTTTGTGTAACAATGAAGTTTTTTTTCGTTGTTAGAAATAATGCTATTAATACACATTATTTTTGTTTGTTTATATAAGTTTTATTACTCGTCGTGACAACTAGGATTCTACATATTAACCTTTAACTCACTTTTGTTGCTTTAAAGTACCGCTTTCATAATTCTTAAAGTATGAAAATGATAAAGCATTTTAAATACGAGCTTTTAAATCAAATATTGAGTTGCTTAGTTGTAAATTGCTAATTATAAATTACTTTAGTTGTAAATAAAAAATGGTCTGTTTGCGTTGAAGAGCTACGTCTATACTTATATGTTTGCTCAAAGTACCATTAACCGATTCCTTAATTTTGATAGACCTATTAAGAGTGTCATAAGAATCAAATTTTTTAAGTCAAATTGAAGTTATAAAACGTAAATTTTATTACCATTTTAAATATTAAAAAATAACAAATTGTATTTAAATAAAAATGATTAAAGTTAATGGGTAGAAAAATATAGCTACTTCGCCAACCCTTATAAGCACGAGCAGCAGATTAAAACATCTAATGCTATTCATGAAATTTATTTTTATGATCGACAAAAATTTAAGATTTATAATTAGGATATACACCGAGGAGCCATTACATTATGACCACCCTGCTAATATTATGTATAACCACCTTTAGCCCTCAAAACTGCTAGTACCCGCCGTGGCATTAATTCCGCAAGGTGCTGATAGGTAGTCTGAGGTATCTGGTACCAAGCGCTCCCCAACTGGTCCTGCAATTCCCTCACATTCCGAGGGGGTAGCGTGGCAGCACGAATTTGGTTTTCCAAGTAGGACCACAAATGCTCTATTGGATTAAGGTCAGGTGAATTTGGGGGCCAAGGCATGACTTGAAAGTCATTGGAATGTTCCACGACGATTCGACCCTTATGACATGGTGCATTATCCTGTTGGTAAACACCATCCCCCGCAGGAAAAACTGTTGCCATGATTGGGTGAACCTGGTCTGCAACTATGTTCAAGTAGCTTACAGACGTCAGGTACTGTTCTATGAGGATTATGGGTCCTAATGTGCCCCATGAAAACATTGTTCTTAGGCGAGAAACCATGAAAACCTGGGCGAGCTCATTGTTATAGATGGAGGGTGGTCATAATGTAATGGATCTTATGTGTATACGTTAATATAAATTTTGCTGCCACTGAGAAAAAATTATCTCAATGGTCCTTACTAGCTGTCACCCATGTTATTTTTGCGAAAATCTCGATTTTATCATACATTGTTTTTACTTCTCCAAACACTGCTCTTATGAGTGAAACTTTTACCACCAAATTTTTATTTTATCAAAATTAATAAAATATTCTTTAAAAAAAAACAAAAACAAATGCATACAAAAATGTTTTTATACCTATTAATGTTTTCACATAAAATAATGAATATTCACAGAAGTCCTCAAGAATGTAAGAATATCAATTTTGGACGATTGAACTGCGAAGTAACATTCTGTTAATTTTATTTTTGTTGTTTGCCCTCATATTTTCTAGACGTTCAAACATATGCGTTGCTCGCCATATCTTGCCAGACATCAAAGAATGCAAGCAAGGAATGGTTACTCTTGAAGAAAGACGTAGTAAGAGACATCAGCGAATGGCAGCAAGCAGATGGAAGTTTCGGCAGCATCCATAGCACTGGTTTAGCTCTACAGGTATGCATTAGAATATAGTTGTTACTTAACCCTTTCGAAGGCTGTGGGAAGTATACTTACCAACACTTTTTTACCACTTTTAATTTAAGTTTCCATTTGTGAATAACTTCAGCTTTCTTGAAGTGCGTTTGCTTTCTTGAAGCAAAATTATTCCACTAGACTATTTCAGCTTTCATATAAAAGAGTTTGACAAAAATATATTTTTTTGTACGGCAGGCACTGAGCATTCGTTCTTCACCTCGAAAAATGCTGGAAGTGTTGCTTATTTAGCATTACCCAGTGGGCACCTGTGAACCTAAGTCACGGAGGCTAACAACATTACCCACGCCGCACTGCCACAGATAGCCGTTTATAGGGTGGGACACATTCGCACATCACGCAACCGAGAACTACACATAGAGAGAAACATTCATGCCCTGAGCGGGATTCGAACCCTCAACCATTGGCTTCACAGTCAGGCACGCTGACCGCTCGGACTCCTAGCCGGCTTTGACAAAAATATGGAAACACTTTTATACTAACTCTATTTAACAAAAAACAATTCTTTTAGAAACAAACGTTTTGAAAGATTTTACACGGCAAAACTTCAATCCTGGCAAGATCATAAATCCCGGTTCGTGAATCAGTCATGAATCAAGATCATGAATCAATCAACTATGCAAAACTCGGATTGATCAAAATGAGGAGTTAAAAGCCTTTTACCTTTTCCAATAAGCAAAACATTTAAAAAAAAACATTCCTATAAAAATATTGCAATCCTATTGAATGATTACAGAATTGGTGGTACTAAAAAAGAACAAGTTATTAACTTTCTCTCCTCAATTTGGCCTATCCGAATATTGCATAGGGAAAAATGACACCCTTTCTAAAAATCTTCAAGTAATATCTTTAAAATCGAGTTGATAATTTTTTCATGTAAATTATCTCAAAGCATTTGCTGCTAAAAAAGATAGTTTACATAGAGTTAATATAGAAGCGTTTCATCATACAGCGTGATTTTAAAGTGGCGACGCCATCTGGTGTTAAAAAGTGATGTTTTAATGCATCAATTTTTTACCTTCTAGTTCCATAACGGGTCACCACATCTCTTCACAATATGTCCGACTGATTGTTTTTCTGTTACACCACATTTTTCAGGACTGCGAAATTTCTATGCTTTATGGAAAATTTCTCTCAGTGGTAGTTAAGTCTATGCTTTAATGCATGATTCTTAGTTTTGTAAATTGGATATAAAGTTATTTCCCCCACTCCTATAACATGTGAAAACATTTTAAAAGTATAATATGTTAAAAGTTCATCTAAAACATAACTTTGTTTTAGCTCTCTCGATCGTGGTAAAGTTTTTAAAATTTTGGCAAAATTACAAAAAATTCTGAAAGTTTTTATTTTTTAATTGTCATTCACAATATAAAGTGTTTTTAAGAAAGTGCAATGTTGTCCGCCCTACACATCAACAAGTATGTCAACAAAAAAAATCTGCAAGGAAAATTATTTTCTGCGCAAGTTTTTTTTAATGTGGTAGAACATAAGAAACCTAGAGCCCCTGAATGAAAGTAATACACTATACCCACTATAGAGGAGCCTTATTATGACCTATCTCGATGCATTTATTAAATTAACTACTCAAACTTCCGCCAAGGGACATTATCAGCATTCCCCTTGGGTAGCCTTAGCCATTTTTTTCTCCCCCCCCCCGACTAGATACCACTTTTACGACATCAGCTGCAGCAGGTTGGAAGTAAACCCTTTCTGACGCGATTTGCCCAGTATGGGAACTAGTTCTAAACCTTGCTTTAAATAGTTTACTTGAAAAAATTCTTATGCTTTTAAAATTCTATAGGCAGGAAAAAGAGGAAGGGGAAAATAATTGGGTGGGGGTATGTGGTAGTGAAGGGAATAGCTTTTTCTTACTATTTTTTCGACTGTTATTTGGCAACTGTATCTTCTAATGTTCTTTACCAATTTTTAAATTTTTTATAATTCATCAGATGAGGAGCGTCGTGTTTTGGGTGCTCGAAACATATTACACTTTTTTACATTTCGACCATAAAGCAAGATTATTTTTTTTTTAATTTTCGTTTCAGTTTCTTGAAATTATTCGTTTCAGATAAAAAAATAAATAAATAAACATTGTAATAAACTTTTTTTTTATCGGTGTTGAATTGCCGACTTATTTTTGCGTTTGAAACTATCAAAGTGTTCAATTCCGTAGCCTTGTAATTTTAAACCTATCTCAGACAACAAGGAGACTCCTACAACAATCATTGGCACAACTTCCTGGAGGACTTCTTTGATAGAACTAACTCGCGTTTGCTATGCTCGGAGAACGGAATCACGAAATTCTCTAACGGTTAGCCAGACGATGAAAGAAATCTAAGGTAATATTGTACACATAAGTCAATCGTAAAATATTTTTTTAGGCTCTCATAGCTGCAGATGAGCTTGGGTCAGAGATGACAAAAGTCCGCGCAATGACATATCTACTTATGCAGCAAGATTGGCAAGGTAGCTACGGAAATGATCTGGACAACTATTACGTACTTCCGGCTCTCAACATGAAGAGTTTAGCCTTACTGCATAAAAGAAGCTGCAAGCATCACACTTTTACACCACAGGGTATTGGTAAGTACAAGCTGTATTTAGCCTTAAATATATCGCTCATGGGCTGCAATAGTGGCACAACTAAAAAAACACGCGTTTCGGACTAAGAGCTGGTGTAAATAGAAAATACACATTCTTTCAGCAGCAATACTAGCACAAATCATAATTCAACTTGAAGGCAATCTTCGTTTAAGCACACTGAAGCATTTCTTATGCATTTTCCTTAGCAATGAAAACTTTAAACCCACTTATCTCAAAACTTGATTTTTTGAGTTGTGCCGCTATTGCAGCCCATGAGAGATATCTTGAAGGTATATTTTTCCTAAATAGTTATTGGACAGAAGATTATATAAAGTTATAATTTCTTAAAAAGGTCCTTAAGAGCTAAATCCTTAAGATCTTGAGTCCTTATTCAATAGGTTCCCAAGCTTTTTCAGCCTACCTCTCCCATGTAAATGTTGACTGCCACCTATCACCTTCCCCCTAAACGTTGACTGCGACGTCACCCCTATTTTCTTTTTTTCTGAATTGTCGTTAAAAAGCTGAAAACTGAACTGAAAAAAAAAAAATGAAAATATAATGCAGTTATAGATTCATTACCTAAAAGAACAGATATTTGAAGAAAAAAATTATTAAAACAGGAGTGTACTTACTTCTTTTAATGGAATCTCTGGAAGAATTGAAAACGTGGATAGAGTTAAAATTTGAAAAATTCTGTTGTTCATCTTTACAATGACTGCTTTGTGCTTTCAGTTAAAGCTTGAATGTCAAGCTTTATGTTTTTCAGAGATCCCCTTTCAAGCAAATGTTAAACTGTTCCGACAATTTGTTCTGAAAGGATCTGGAAGACAGATCTCCGTTTAACTTGAGGTTTGACGAGGACGCTTTTAAACTTTATACTTCGACACAGGAATCTTCAGTTTATTAACATAACTATAAAAAAATAATTTTTCAGTCAATTTTAATACAAATATTTATTAAAAATCACGCCCTTTCGATTTTAATAAAATAAGATAAATTATTTACTTTGTATAAGATTTTAATTTAATTTTAAATTTATGTACTATCTAAATTAATTTTCGTGGATGCGGTTTTTGTTAAAAGAAAAAGTACCAGTAGAGAGAACATGCGTGGTTTGTCTCGCTTTACATAATAAGAATACAACATAATAAGAATTCCAAACTAGCATTATTTATAATCATTGTCATCTGCTTACTTTATTTTTTTCCCTAAGTTATGAATAACTCTTTTAATCACTATGAAATCAAAAGTTATTCAGAGTGGTCCGTTTTTTTTTTGTGTGCATTGTACATAAGTTGAAAACAAATAAATTTGAAATGAAAACTAAAAAGAACTGTATAAGTGTTGTTGAAAAGCGCGAGGGGAAGTTCTAATAATACTTTTTATAAATGCGTGTCCTTTTCATGTTTAATTCCATAAGTTATTACTAGAAAAATTATGAATCTATATTTTTTTTTAAATTTTGATTTCCTTCTTTTTGCTTTTAAAATTTTTTATAAGAGTAACAGAAATTTTAAATAAAAAATGGATTATTGATAGAAAAAAAGTCCTCACTACCGAAACTACTCAAGTTCCGCGGGACACCATTTTCGAACTTGTTACTTTCACCCTTACATGAGTGAAAATCAAGACAGTTTTGCTGTCACTTTTTTTATTTTGTTTAATCATTCTCCACTTGTGTCTGCCAGCTTTTGCACCAGCATCTCACCATGGATTCAATTATTCTTACATCCGGAAATTATTGTAACTGCCTAGGTTAAGAAAATTGATTTATTAAATAAATTTATTCTTAGAGATAAACTGGTAATTTTAAAATATTATTTTTTTCATATTTGTATGCATTTTTATTTTATCGAAGCAATTCTGATTAACTAAAATATATGGATTGATTTTTGTTTACTGAATTACTTCGAGGTTGACGTTTATCACCTGCTATTGAATAACTGTCCGTATTGCAGAAGAAGAATTCTTAGCTATTCTTGAAATCAGATTTTTAACTAGAACAAAAAAATTTAAAATTTACGTAATTAATTAATTCTATACTTAACTAACCTTACTTAAAATTCATCAATGATCAATCAGTTACTATCTCTATTAATACTCTATTATTATTGAATATCTTCATTAATTTCAAGATAGTACAGTAAAATTAACTCTTTTTTTTCGGAATAATTAACACCCAAGAAATTTTTGAACAAAAAGCTTTGTTGTGTAATGGACAATTACAGTCCAATTTTTTTTTTTAATTTTAATGCATTCAGAATCCCTCAAAACTCCCAGAAAACATTTTATTACTTTTCTAAGAAGGCTATTTATTTAGTTATTTTCAATCAAAAAACGCTTACTTTCGTTTTCGCCTGAAACGGGGAGTCACGTGATTATTCACGAACTGACGTCACACGTGTCCATCTGCCGTTCACTTACAATAGCTGTGCTGTGAAAACCAATACGTTCTTGCTTTCGTTTAAATTTTCTAATTAAATTCAACCATTTTAGATGGTCTAAAGCTATCTGTATAGAAAATTGCGCCTTAATATCGCTTAGTAAAAATGTGGATTTGATATAACGTATTTTTATAATGTTAAATTTCAGTGGTACCCACTGAAACATTGTTAATACTTGACGAAATTTTCTAGCTCGGAATATTTAAGATTTTTCAGTTCAATAAAAAAAGTGCATGGTATTGCTTATAAATGATGCGTTATAAATACAAAATAACTTCGTTTTTTCATTTTTTAACTATAATCTTAGTTTTAAAGTTTACTTCAAGTTCATTTGGAAGATTTTTTTTCATCTTAAATGAAAGAAATGTTGGATCAATTTCTTATATAGAATAAATAGTTTTAGATTTTAAAATGTAGGACAACTTAAGTTATTGATAATTTTTATCTATTTATTCTAGCGTGAATTCAAAGCATGTAATTGTATTCTTAGCAGTAGCCTCTTGTGATCCCAGTAAAACTTTAAATTCATATATATATATATATATATTCCTGCAGATTTTATTAACTTTACTTTAATTGCCTTAATCTATGTTATAAGAGTATTTGAAATCAAGCATATGCATTTATTTAGTTCTTTATTGCAGAAATAGGAATAAAATTTTATAAATGCATATAAAAATAATTTTTCGCCATAGCAAAGTTCCTATTTACTCAAAGAATAAAAATATTGAGAAAAAATATCAACATTACTGTTTATTTTTTAATTATTTAATAAATAATTAAGAATGTGCATTAGAATTTCTTTCCATTTTGTATAAGTTAATTTTTTATTTTTCTTCTCTAGCTTTAGTGAAACAAAAACTTCCAGCTTAATGATATTCGCTGAAATTTTGTGGATAAATAAGTTAATTAGATATGGATAAATGAGAAATTAAGTGAAATTTTAAGTATAACTAGATTATGGTGATGATGATGGTCAGATATATTTCAATGGACTAGATTCTTGAAAGTGTTGATACGTTTTCGGCTATACCGTATGCATAACCTGAGATTTTTTTAAAACTATTTTATTAAATTTTTTTAAATTAAAAATGTATAATGTATTAATTTTACTATTTTAGAATTCTTCATTGCAAGCACTGACAAATGGCTTGCAAAAATAAGGAGAGAAATTAACAATAACCATACTTTATTAATACTATATTGCAGAAAAAGGAATTAAAATTTATAAATTTAAAAATAAAAATAATTTCGAACTGTAACGGAATTCCAATTTAAGCTAGGAATAATAAATATAAGAGTTACTGTGTATTTAAATATTCAATACATAGTGAAACAAAAAAAAAAGATGACATGAACAGCATTAGTAAATATTTACTTAAAAAGAAAATCCTTCAACTCTAGTAATAAATCAATAAATTAAAGAAGCAACATTAAATTATATTATTTGAATTTTTGATCATTAGCACATAGATTGTAACGCTGATGGACTGATATTTTTCAATGGACTAGATTTATGAAAATCCTGATTTGTTTTAATACAATAACGAATTATAAAATCATCCATCCTATAACCAAGTCTATAAAATTTCTATCCAATCTGCGACTTATTTTAATTAAGTAATTAGGTTGTAAGGAAGCATTATTTTATTTTAAAAGTAAGTGGAATAAAATAGTATTTTCTATGAACGTTAACACTACTGATTTCAGCCGAAAAGAAATGTTGATTTGCTGTAAAGAGCTACATAATCATTTCTTCAGATATTTTAAAGATAAATAACAACGTTTGATGTTTTAAAATCTTTCTTTCATTTTGCACACACTCTCAGAACCGTAAATTTAATTCATGAAATTTTTACTGATAATTTACAAAGGATGTTCATACGGTATACGTGATATCAAAACTAAAAGAACATTGAAATAGCCTTAGCGGATGGAGACGGCACGTTTCCCTTCGGCACATTTGACGTCATAACCAATCAGGGATCGTTTTTGATTGCATCACTTACGGAGGCCTCTTGGGGCAATTTAAATGTTTAATAACTAAATAAATTAACATTTGCCGAAAAAAACAATCAGATTTTCGGTTTCAGGGGAGAATTTCCAATAAGTTAGGTATGAAAATAAAAAAATTATGATATGCTGTAATTGTCCATTAAATGATACTCGAAAACTCCCCCATGTTCCCTTCTACGCTACTCTCTTTTTTGAGGGAAATGGGGATGATTTGAGGGGTAGATCAGAACTTCTTCTAGACAGACAAGTGAGGCATATTTTCCAATAAATTTCTTTCACGTTGAATGGGATGAAACTAATTTCGAGTTTATCTGGCAAATAGTTTAGAGTTTATAAGTATTTTCGATACAAAATATACAAATTTGTACTTATACCTATTTAAGATATGACAATGCTACTTAAACAATCGAGACTATGTTTTTTAGTAGTTTTTCAGGTTAAATCACATGAGACAATATGCATGTCAATAGAACTAACAGTTTAGAAGTTGCAGAAGTTCTTAAGTATAAAAAGTATTAATTTAGACGCATATTTCGGTATACACTTTGCATAGCTGTCAAGGAACTGTTTAAACATAATATAAGATATATTTTCCCATGTAATTTTTCACACTGAATCGGTTGTATAATCATTCCCGAGATGATCAGATTAATAGTTTAGAAGTTACAAACATTTTATATATAAAAAAAATAGTGCGTGGAGTCCCTCCGCGCGGAAGAAGTGAAACTTCGTAATGTGGAAATGAAAATAGGAAGGGGTAGAAATTGATTTTGAGTGATATCATATTGTTTCTTTAAGACAAACTTTATTAACAATGCTTACAATTCACAATTGTACGCATCNTACCATTTATCATTACCAATCCAAATTTGTCTTTAACCCTTTCGCGCCGACTGTCACAAATACGTGCCAGCATAAAACCGTATCAAACAAGGTAAAAAGATAAAACTGGTAATCAAAGTAGTTCTTTAGCAGTTTATTCGTGGGTGGAGTTATAATTGTTTGATTTATTTAATTCACCATTATTTTGTTCAAAATAAAACAATTTAGTTATACTTTGAATTAACATTAATTATATGTATGATTAAACTAACAATAATTAAAGTAAAAGCAAAGTAAGTCTGTTAAATTAGCAACGACTACATTTAAGTTACCGTTTTTTATTTAATTACAACTTGATTCTGATTTTGTACGAATGCTTTTCTGAATCAACCGTCCCCAAGGGGTTAAGGAAGGTTAATAATGTTTCAGCTTCAGGTAACGAGAAATTCACATTAAAATCTCCTGCTAGGATCACAGGCCGCTGGTTGCCATGGTAGCGTTAAACGTTTAACGCAACCTTGTTGGAAGTCGCATTAGAAGTTTCACTTCAAAAAGTATAGTTTTGTTCTGGCACTTATTTATAAATCTTGCCTAGCTATACAGACAATTGAGGTATTGATTCCTGTGTATTGTATGCAGAGATGCCAACTGCTGCGGACACTCCAAAGTAATAAATAAAAACGGTAATTAACTACACACTAAAATTTGCAAATAGTTGACTATTATTGTTAACTTTTTGAAAAGTTTAGCTTAACTTATTATATAAAAGTGGCAAAATTTATAAGCCTTCGAATTATTTAGAAATAGTGGTAGATAAAAATCTGATAAATTGAATTTATTAAACCTAGAATCACAATTGATAAACTACCACTTTAAAGTATTTATTTGCTGTCCGGAGCAAGTCGGCATCTCTAGTATGTAGAATGATGTAGATCCTTATGTATGTAGAATGAGATCAAACACGAAAGAGCTAATGAAAAGAGCTAATATTTCAAAAGTTATTTATTTATTTTTTGGTATAAAATTGATCATTTTTGAATTGTTCTCACTTATATGAAGAAAGCCCTTTCAACTTCTAAACTATTTGTCCGATCGTCTCGGAATTGGTATCATATCCAATTCAGCCTACAGATATTAAGCCTATTGCTATCATACAATTCATTTGCTACATATCGCCAAAAATTTGGAATTTAAAAAATATTTTATCCTAATCACCAGCATCAATATTTTTCCCACCTATCGCCAAAAATTAGGAATTTAAAAAATATTCTATCCTAATGACCCAGCATCAATATTTTTTCCTACTTATCGCCAAAAATTTGGAATTTAAGAAATATTTTATCCTAATGACCAGCATCAATATTTTTACTACTTATCGCCACAAATTTGGAATTTAAAAAATATTTTACCCTAATGACCAGCATCAATATTTTTCCCACCTATCGCCAAAAATTAGGAATTTAAAAAATATTTTACCCTAATGACCAGCATCAATATTTTCCCCACCTATCGCCAAAAATTAGGAATTTAAAAAATATTCTATCCTAATGACCAGCATCAATATTTTTACTACTTATCGCCAAAAATTTGGAATTTAAATATTATTTTACTCTAATGATCAGCATCAATATTTCTAGAAGCTGCCGTTCACCCGTCTCGAAAAGACGAGAAACAGATGCTTGTCCACTATTCCTTGTGGATTGGAGGAGACAAAAATGAAATTCAAACTGTCACCCTTTCTTTACCCCGGCGTTCCAACTTCCTGGAGGTCATGGCCGAAGCTGAAAGAGTCAACTCTCTGTTCAAGTAAGTCGAATTCATTCATATTTCTGATACTCGACCAGAATCACGTACTCATGTACACCTGACTCATCGGACTTGGCACCACTTCAAAGCTTCAATCAAATTCTTTGACAGATTGGTGTCTGGGAAATAGTTCAGTTTGCGCCTCTGTCATAATTCCTCGGAATTAATCTTTTATAATCTAATCGTTGACTAGAAATGATTTGAACTGAGAACAGGAAACTGTAGATTTGAATTAAATAGCCATGGACTTGTCAGAAAAGAAAGCCATTCATCATGGTTTCCTTTTATTCTGAATAAACGGTTTAAATGAATTCATCGCGGAGGACTAAGGGGAATTTTTTACTTCCTTTTTGATGTTGCCGCTAGGGTTCCATTACTATCGCTTTTTGAATTGAGCACAAAAATTAAATCATGCTTTCAATTTTTATAAAAAGTTTGAATAAAAGGATTTCCACGTTTTTACACATTTATAATAATGAAAAGTGTAAATAAAGTTCATGTAAGTGCTAAAAGAAGAATATAAAAATATATTTCCTAACCTAGTGGTCGCAAAGGTATTAATATTATAAAAAGTTAGAATTAAACGAATTTTATCCACTGCTACACATAAATTATTTAAATGCGTACATAAAAGATCAGTCAGTCGCATTTTATAATTTTACAATCATCGTTGAACAGCCGACCCAATTTTGGGTTTACGACTACTAATGTTCAACTCCGTCGCCTTGCAATTTTGAGCCCAATCCAGAAAACTTCTGGATCAAAGATTGGGAGATATTGGCCTTCGTTCGAAATTTTATCAATATATATTTGTTAAAGAGTTTACATAATATGACTAAATTACTGATCGGAGAAAGTACATTTTTCATCTATAGAGTTAGTACTGTTATTTTATGCTAATACAATTGTTAGTGATGTTCATATTAATACATTTGAAAGTAAGACATTTTAAAGTAATGTTCACATTATTAAGAACATTTTTAAGTGATGTTCAAATTGAAACATTTAAAAATAGTGTTCATAATCTTACAAATTATAGTGTCTTCATTTTACAATTGTGATACTTTTCACCATTTCTAAAGATAACCATTTAGTAAATACAGCATCAAAACTATAAAACAACCTTCAAATCTATTGTATAACTTCAACCCCTCAGCACAGTCAACGTTTAAAAACCAAAGAAAAAAAAATGCTTTGACAATTTTAATCACCATTTAGTTCCAAATAGTGAGATGTTTCCATACAAGTCCTAATGACTTCGCACTAATCTCATTTACAATCACGCGTATCAAGATGAAGAAGTCCCTCTATTAAATGCTTCATTTTTTGAGTGGTAAAATGTGAAACCTCGACATCTTACGATGTCTCTTTATACAATAGATGAGGCCTCTTGGAAAGTGAGGTAAAAGCGCTCTCAGAAAGACAGACATTGATTCTTTTCCTTCAGAATTGAAGAGTTCTTTCCTGACCGCGTCAAGGTCGTCTGATCTTGTTGACACTGATTATTTAGGGTCCCCTTTTCACTGGAGCTATTGTTCCGGCCCTTTCACAGATTTAAAAAGGTTCTTATTTTTACTCATTAATGTCATCTGCTAGAATAACAGTAACTGCGCATAAAACTTTCTTCTCTTATTAATGGATAAGTTGGATCAACTGACCATTTGAATCTTTATCTTATTTTGAAATTTTTTGTGCTTCTTTTTGTTCTGTTTTAAAAGAATGTAACAGTTGGAATGTACAAGATTCTTCTAGATGAATTGATAAAAATTAAGGAATTTTGCACTTTCGTTCTGCTGGTGCACTGTAAAAAATTCCAGATCAAATTACGGTAAAAAATGCCGGCAATCAAGGAGCCAGTACTTTTTTATTGTAAAATTTTACGGAACAAAAGATTTCTGATATGCATAATTTTTTTCAATAATAATTACTGAATCGTTGTAATTAAACAAATATTGCAAAAATTATGATAGGGGAAGTAACTGAGCTGTATGGTTGTAAATCGGTACTGGCTTCTGATAGAGTGGAATGATATAAGGTCTTGAGATCGGCTGTAGTGTTTATGGAAGAAAAAGAATAAGTGAAGCATTGGTATAAACAGTCGCTTTTCATCATTTCCTTTTAATACGTTTTGCATTTTCTAAAACCGCGATATAGTTTAACCAATAAATGTTCGAATTTTATATTTCAATAGCGTAAAAAAAGCTACGGAGTGCTGCACAGCTCGGAACTGTTTGCAAGCAACGTAACCAACAACCATATCTTAATTCTTACCAACCATAGCCGAAGGGCATGCTACTTAACTGTCAACTATGGATTTGCCAACTGAAAAACGCTATAAATATGCTTGTATATAAACCTATACGTTTTTTTTTTTTTTTTTATAAACTTGTAGATTCAGACAAAAAATAAGCTAAACTTAAAATATTATTTTGAAAAAAATCTGCTGTTTTTCGAACAAGAATAAATGTAACAAAAAATTTGTTTCCGGTATTATTATTGCCTGAGGCCGGTGGTCCCAAAAATAACGGGCGATTTAAGAAATAAAAGAGAAAGAAATGAATGATTCGTGGCGTTGGAAACTAGGAAATTGTTTCACCAAGTATTAAAATGATTTGGCGCTGTTGAGTGAAAAACCCATAATTTGGTGTTTTATGAGAATAAAATCTTTCAGAAATGAATAATCATATGCTGTCAACCATAAGATATTTTTGTTCGGCTGTCAGTTAATTTTACCCTTAAACTGTCTGCACCACTTACTTGCTTCAAATGGTGGTAATATTGAAGACATTCTTTTATGGCTTTTATCAGTAATTACTAGCGCCAACTGTTGACAAACTTTGTAATTATCTAGGAAATTTAGTAAGAACTGGTTTTCTGTGCAGAACTGAGCAAGCAGTACATTTCTATTTCCTTCTGTTTTTCTTCTATTGATTTTAAGGGCGCTGGTTTGTGAGAACGGGAGTTCGAAACTAGCCGGCCGAAGACTTCCTATGTAGTAAATGGTGACTGGGGCACGTTAAATCTGTCGGATCACAAAGTCCTCCATGTTCCTGGGCATACTGAATTGCAGATTGATCGTTCTCTGGATCAGGTCAAAATTACGATCTGTGGATGAATGAATGAATGGATGTATAAATGGGTTCGCCCTTATATACGGATGTGATGTATAGATGTGACAGAAGTCGAGTTCTTGACCATAGATGGCGCCACTGGAAAACAAGAGCTATAGCACTATACCTTAAATGGCTGACGACAACAACAACATCTGTTCTTTCGGAATACTCGCAAAGTCCTATTAATCGTCCTTCTATTATTTTCATTAAACTAAAATAAAATATACGTCTATTTGTGTTTAAATTGAAAAAAAATTTGTTCATTGCAAAGTATTTCTATTTTTGATAATGAAGCATTAAAAATATCTGGTTTTGCAGGCACAATGCGTTGACTACAGGAAAAGGAACTGCAGTAAATTCAATTGCTGGTCGTGCATCGGACATAGAAAAAAGCATATATTGGACGCTTTACAGAAAAGTTCCTCTGCCATTTCGTCCTCATCTATCGAATGTCACAGCAACCGTGGCGAGATTAAAGCTTTTCGGAGCAAAAAGATGGACAAAAGGTAAGTTTAAAAGCCAATTTTAATTATCTAAGCAGTTATTATATTCTGGAGAAGAAAAAGAAAGGTTCAATGCTCGATATGATGCATTGATTTTTAATTTAATTTTATCAACATGCGTTCATTCATCATCTCCTACATCAGAAAGCCTCCACATGGATTTTTCGAAATAGTCTGGTCAGAATACTTAAAAATTAACCAGTTATGCGCATGAAGTCAAATTCTATTTTAAAAGTAATTGAAAGAAAGTTATCATATATATTTGAGAATTGAATCTGTAGTGGTTGAAAAGTAAATAAGACAAACCAATCATATTCAAAAATTGAACAAATTTTTATCTGATCAGACTACCTGTAAGAAACCGCTTGGAGGCTTTCAGTTATAGGAGGCGTTGGTTCATTACAATGAGCTCCCCTCTTTCTAAATAATGGTACCACTCTTTAAATCTTTTGACCGAATTTTATAAATTTAGTTACGAAATCAGGCTCAAAAAGGTATTTTCTTAGAGGAAGTATACCTAGAGACTTAAAATACTCCAAGCATTGATACAGGGTTTGGGCAAAAATTTGGAAACAATTCTATGCTTAACTGTATGCAAACAGTATTTCTTTTAACAGCAAATGTTTTGGAAGGTTTCACACGGAAAAACTCTTGGTAAAATTTGAAAGATCATGCTTGAATCTTTTAGAAACGATGTCATATTTGTCATACGTCTTGAAATGACAGGTCATCAAATGACAATTCTTGTAACGATTCTCCTTTTAAACACAAATACTAAATCAGGTAACTAACACACGTATAAAAGAAATACTTCTAAAGAGAGTCTCAAAACACAACGTTGTGAACCAAGTGGCTTCAAAATACACCGGAAACAGTGACCCGGAAGTATAGTTAGCCGAGAGCTTGCAGCGCTCCCTAGTGTAGACCTAACACCATCCATAGGCTATAGGCGACAGTCAGGGAAGCATCCCCGAGGATTGATCCGGAGACGTACCATCGCAATTTTCTCATTCGTGGAGCCACTTCCTCAATTTAGACATAGATCTGAAGGGTAAAGATCCCTGTACCCATGGGTACTGCTCAAGGACTTTACAAGCACATAATTTACAAGCCCGTGTACCACGTGTACTCGCTGGGTATAAGTGGAGTCGAGGACATCGGTCCCTCCGGACTGAAGTTCAATTTCTTAACCACTAGGCAATCGCTAACCTCAAAATATAAATGAAATTAAAAATATCATTAAAAAAAAATCTTTTGATTTCCGAACAAAACTGATTTCCGATTTGAAATTTCCAAACCCGACTTAAAGAACATCAAGTTCAAGTACTTACATAAATGGAACAAACAATTTGTTTCCCAGTGTAATTTGTTACTAGGAACAGTCAAAACTGTTTTTACTCCCCATGAAAGAAAGGTTTAAATAAAATAGTTTTGCTACTAGTTTTTCATCTTTTCCTATCTACATTCAGCCCTGGATTGAAATACTCTATTAAACCTTTTACAAGCCAACAGAATGTCACCATAATTTTTATCAACTAGTAAAAGGCGTCTTAATGAAATAAAATAGTAAAGCAGTGTACGAAATAAAAAAAACATAACGCCTATTAATTTTTATTGGATTTTCATGATCTAAAATGCAACATCAAGGCTAACTAATCGTAAATATCACTGGGTAAAAAAAAATTGTTGCATTTGTGTAAGTACTTGATCTTATCTAATTCGGGTTTGAGGTCCCTGCGAAGCAGAGAAGTGAGGACTCTTCGTACTGAATTTTTAAAAGTCCTAATTGGGAATATATTATTAAATTACATACAAACTCTAACTTGCAGAAAGAAACCGATTGCAGATTTAAAATCAACGATACAGAAGAATCTAAGATGAGTTAAAAAATCTCATGCAAAAGAACTGAAAAATGTCCCCCAGTGTAATCAATGTAGAATATATTTTAAGTTTCAAGATTGATCCGAAAACGTACTGTCTCTGAAAAAAAGACACACCTTTTTATCGCTTTGATGAATTGCTTTATGTTGCTAACATTTTTGATAACTTTTCAGTGCTTTTAAAAAGGTGAGTTTAAGTGACAATAGCTTTAAAACAATTAAAACTATATTCATTCCTTTTCTTTACCATTTCAGATCTCAAAAAGCTTCATCCTAGAGACGGAGAACATCTTGCATACTGGTATAAACCTTATTTGTAGAAATAGAATTTTACATATTATGACAAAATAAATATTGTAAGACAAAACCCATTTTGAGCAAGAAGAAGCAGGCAAGGTCTGCTAATTTCTGTCAATTTGTGTGTGAGTTTTGAATTCTTATTCGTTCACGAATATGTTCTGGTGAGGAATTTCTTGATGCTGTACGAACTTGAACAATTTGAATTCACGATTTACCCTTGACGACATGGATGCTAAGCCTAATTATGTGTGTTTTATATTTATTTCGAAGGATTATATTATGTTGATTGACTAATATGAAGAAACCAAGTTTGCGATAAATAGGAACCGATTTTGCTTAGGGTTTAAATTGCAAAGTAGCATAACGGTTGATGGTTTCTTAAAATGTCAAAGAACTTTTTTTTCAATGGAAAATGTCTTCAAATCATTCGAATTATTCTTGACTTCGAATTGAGTGAAAATTAAACATGAGCGATTTTAAAAAAATAGTTCAGCATTCAGTCAGCAACGAGGAAATAAATTCTCCTTACTATTCTCTATCTACTATTCATAATATTTATATCTGCTATTAATTGAATCGGCTCAAATCATGAATTTGGCGAAAAGTTTCACCAATGAGTAGTGAGTGATTATATGGCATTAGGTAAATAATAATGATAATCCTTTCTTAGGTTTGACTTTCTGGCGTCATTTTTATTCAGTTCTCATTGGTGCTAGCTCAGGAATTTAGCTATTAATTTTGATTGTTGAAAGGATGATAAAATGCTAATTGTGTATGAAATTAAATTGTAAAAACTAATATATGTAATTGAACTAAATGGATAGAACGTATTTGCGTTTAAAGCACTAAGTAAAATGCGTTTGTAGCATCATATCATTCAATGGTAATATGGCAAGTGACTTCTCGTATAGATTTATTTCGTTAAAAAGAATAATGTGCGGTGATGGTCACAAATATATTAAAATGTCACAGACTGTTTCATTATCGCCACCAGCTATAAGAATTTGCAAAATTTGTGGGGTAGCCTCAAGATCAACGTATGTCTTCACAGCTAGTTAGAAAATAAAATTTACCCCACAAAAAATAAAACTCAATTTCATCCAATCAAAATCTTTATTAATGTGTCTACTGAGTTATGATGGTTACAGTTATTGACTTGGGTTATTTCATTTAACCTTCAGTGATTGACTTTAAGAGAGAAAATGTGGCCTAGAGACTAAAGTTGAACTACTAGGAGATCTAATCACAGACGCGCCCAAGTGCCTATAAGGGTGAGCAACGTACAAGTTCGTAATTGAAGTTGCAAGTCTAAACCGAATTTTTAGCTTCGTATATTGTGGTATATGTGTATATTTTCATTTAAAGAAAAATCATTGCTCTTGCAAGTGAAATTTGATGTATACATTGTTCACGTTTGTTAAATAAATCGTTTTTATTCGTCGTGTGTTTTATTCGCTATTATTAATTTGGATCTTTTAAAAACATATCAGTTTATAGCGAGAGTATTTGAAATTTACAGAGTTAGATCTGTAACACTGAAGCAAAGGAGAGCACTACGGATCGCTAAAAAAATTGTTAAAAAAAAAAAAAAAATAGTGCGTGGAGTCCCTCCGCGCGGAAGAACTTAAACTTCGTAACCTGCGACGCTAATTGTAGAAGAATCAGCAGTCGTAGAAGGATCACTAGTTCTATTCAACGACTCTTTTTCCTGCTCCGCTCGCTTCCGTGCTCTGTAATAACGGTAATATTGTGCATTTTTACCTCGTGGACCTCTTGAACCAGTGGAAGTGCTTGTGGTTGCCTCATCGTCTCGCCCTGGAAAATGTATTTGTATTAATAATGTATGTGAATGCGTCATAATGTAATTTCAGAAGAGAAAACCTAACAATCAATTGATATTCACAAGAGACGTACCTTGACATAACCTTAAATCCGTCGCATTGTCCGTGGGATTGTTTTCACTCATTTTTTACAATTGTTATCCACTGAATTTGAAAATAAAAAATACTACCCTATTAAATTATATGTGTATCAAAACAAACGAAAAAAATATTTATAGAAAAACATGACTTTTATTATTTTTATGCTAGTGAGAACCAAAACAATATGGAAATGAATGAGGGAAAACTGGATCCTTCCACGTGATTTCCCGGCCAATAAAAATGTAGCGTTAAACGTTTAACGCAACCTTGTTGGAAGTCGCATAAGAAGTATAACTTCCAAAAAAAAATAATAATAATAATAACGCGAATCAGGAGAGTTCTTAAAAATGTGTTAAAATATTAATGTTTGTTATATTTCCCCCCCCCCCATTTTTTAAAATTTGTAAGACTTGTGACGGAACTTTGAAAACGAAGATCTACTTTTTAGTCACAGATCCGGCACGACTCTTCAATTCTTGTTAGAAAATAAATTCGAATAAATATTCATAAAATTTCTGCAATTACCAGTTAAATTTTAATATGAAAATTAATAAACATTCAGTAACATTCGCAATTTTAAATTCGTGAATTAGTGTTAAATGTGCTAAGAAGGATATGACGAGCTGGGCCATTTTCTTAGCTTTTACTGAAATATTTGCTGGAGATGTGAGTATTTTCTAAGTATTTCTGTTTTTCAAATTATTTCTAGAAAACTATTTTTTTTTTTTTTTTTTTTGAGACAGAGTCTCGCTGTGTCTCCCANTTTTTTTTTTTTTTATGTTGAAAAGTAAAATGTAAGTTTCGATTAAAATCTGATTTCAAATAATCGTTTACTTCACTAACAGTGAATAAATTGATGATTGAACACAATTTTGATTTTTTTTTTTGGTAAAAGAATCCAAGGTTTCGATCAAAAATGAAATTTGCATATGTTATTTTCTCCGTACATTTTGCATGTAATAAGTATACTGGAAAAGACATCCAAGAAGAAAATTTTTTCGCGATGCTTAGTTTTTTGAGATGGAAAATCAGACGGTTGCAGAAATAATTATAATAACCGTATATCCACGATGTGTATAGGCTGCTTACAACATATTGCATAAGATATTAGGTGCCGCAAATGGGTGAACACAAGTAACGGAAAAAGAAAATGTACTGCTTGTTACGCTCTACAAAGGAAAGATTTAGTTAAACTGTTTGTCAACAGATGGAGTTGCTGAGTGAAAACTACAAAACATTGCTTTTAAAATAACCACCATATTCAGCATCAACGTGGGGATACAATCAATAACCGCCCGTGAAAAAATTTCAGTTCAAATGTTCTGAATGTCTGTAAAAACATTGTTTAATACTCTCATAGTTAACAGCGCCATCTGTTGAGGAACTTTGTAAAAAATTTAATTAAAAAATTGTTGATTTTCTAAGCAAACCATGTGTAATCTGCCCCTTTTCCTTTGATTGATTTTTCAAAACACCGGTGATTTTTGCGACACTTAGGTAGTTATTTGTGGGACATAATTTCACAACCAATTACAAAATGATATTGCATAGAATATTTCTCCGAACATAAAAAAAAAGTATGCGTGACACACCTAACATACACGTGTTCTTGTTTTTACACGCATTCCAGAATCAAATCGTTTTTAGTAGCTCAGATCAAGTTCTTATAAGATTGTCATAAATAGATTAGCGAGTTTACTAGAAAAACGAAACATGAGCTGGAGAAATGTGCAGTTCAAAACATGAGATATTTGAAAAGTAAATAAATAAATAACATAAATTCATGTCAGTAAATGCTAAACACAGTCACAGTCAAGCTATTTCATTTCTCATTGAGAAGAGTCATTAAACACTGCAAACTGCAGGAAGTATTTAAAAGTAATCTGTCGAAAACTGTCATGACAACGAAGATTGACAAGCACTTCATTTTCCGAGACAGGCGGAGCTACACAATTATAAAGGGAACTCTTTTATTACGCCTCACTCTGCTGTTGTAAACGATATACAAAGATGGCGCCGGTGTTCAATTCCCTGGCTTGCGTTCTTGAGTTCGAATAACAGCGAAAACTGATTCGAAAGTGGATTTTTCGTTCCTAAACATCACATTCACGGCTTGTTAGGTACATCAAATAAAGGATAGCTTTATTTCGCTTATTTTTATAATTTATTTGTTTATAATTTTATTTTTGCCTCTCACTTGACGTTGACCTTCTGAGTTTTGGTTAAGAACTATTGTTTCTTTTTCATTGATTGCAAAAAGTAAAAGTGATTAACTTTACAGACAACGCCATTTTTAACTGCGCTGACTTAGTTACTTTTTTCGTTCTGATAGTTATACCTCGAATGTCAGCGATAATGATACTTATAATCGTCAAAGGTGTCTATGTAAAGTAAAAGGGTTATAAGCTACTCAATAGGTAACATGTTTTAAGCATAACTTGTTCCCCCTGTTACGAAAAGTTTATCTTACGAAATTGGCGGAAGTTCTTGCGAAGGACATTTCAACTGATTGCGAGCGTAATTCGCTGAAGATAGTGCAGTGCATGTAAGCCAAACTATTGGTGAATTAAAATGAAAAAATAATGAAAATATAAATCGTATTTAGAAACCGATTTTATCTCTCAACCAAAAATCCCGTACAACAACGTTCACGTTTTACACTTTGAGTGGAAAAAACGTGATGGGCAGAGCCTTTTGACTGTTTTCTATTCAGTGTAAATATTCGCCTCAAAATTGGCAGTCAGAAAAAAATGTTCAACATATTGAGAAAATCTCAGTTCAAGTGTGAATAAGATTGAAGCAAATATTTATGATTTAGAAAGGTCGGTGAACAGTTTATTACGCTACGTCACAAAGTGCAAAAATTTCGCGTTATCTATAAGAACCAAAAGAAATCTCATATAAAATGCTAACATGTATCAGCTAGCTGTAGTGTTGCAAAGTGCCACTTGTTTATTATGTTAAAATTCTTTTAATATTTCTGCTCTTTTGTGTTAATCATTCAATTGTCTAAACTTTTTTTATTAATTGTTTTAATAAACTGCATGATTCGTGTAAAATCATTACTATTACAATAAAATAATTCATAAGAGAATTTGATATTACCACGGCAAATTTATCACTTTAATTCGTTTTGTAACTAAAAAAATTAACATATTAAAATTATTTTTTTAAAAAAAAGCATAAAAATGAAAATAACTTTTGAAGTTTCCTAAATTCTGAAAGAAAGAGATCAATTGTTTTATAAGCTGCTTAATGTGAAATCGAATGAATCGAGTCTAAAAGCATTACAGACGATCAGGTGCTCTCTCTATCTATTTATCGATCAATTTATCTATCTATCTCATTTTTCAATGGACAACTAGTCAACTTTTCATTTTGTGGCGTAGACAAGTTAATTGAGCTTAAAGCTAAAACGACAATATTTACCTAACATTTACTGTGAACATAAACAGAAACAGGTATATTTGTAACAACAGGTATATACTGTAAGAACTCCCCTCGCCACAAAGTCTGAGGCCGTCTGCTGCTATGGAAACAAGAATAGCGCATTTGAGGGAGGGTAGCTTCTCTTCACTCTAAGGCTCACAAAAGATAGAAGAAAAAGATTCTCTTTCTCTCGTCGACAAGAGCCAAAACCTGTTCGAAACGGTGACCCCACGGTAGACGGAAAAAAAGGTCCCGGAAATAAAGGTACGGAAAAAAAGGTCCCGGAAAAAAAGGTACCTGAAAAAAAAAGGTACGGAAAAAAGGGTCCCTGGAAAAAAAGGTCCCGGAAAAAAAGGTCCCGGTAAAAAAGGTACCTCCATAGGGAAAATCTGTAGGGATATTTCCCCTCTCGCTTTCTGGGCAACATGAATGCTTCTCGCTGTTTCAATGAATATTCTTTTTATCTGTAATAATTCAGATTAGATCATTGAGGTAACGAGAAGGGTAAGGGGGGGGGCACTTATAGGCTGGTTGTATTACGCTTTTTTTTAAATTTTATTTCACTTATTTATTCTTCTTTGATTATTTTTTAAAGCAGGAAGATACAATTTAAATTTTTCAATAATATTTTACTTTTTTTTAAAATTTTTTTAAGCGAAAAATGTGTTATTTTCTATTTTAAATTATATTTTGTGAAGAAGTTGCTAATGTGGGGCTTAAAGTAGCCAATCGGGGAAGTTGGGAGGATTTATGTGTTGGATGGTTATTCGTGATTGGAGGTGTAAGTATTGGTGCCTTTTAATTAGAGTAGCGGTATTTCTTTTTTTTATAAGCTGGGTATGTTTAATTTCTCTATTTATTTTATTTTTTTAGGGCAAGATTTAATATAAAATATGCTTTTTTTTTTTCATTTTAAATGATATTTTTTGAAAAGGGTGTTGATATTTATATGAGCCGATTAAGGAAGGTGGGTGGATTTCTGTGTTGGATGTTTATTCTTTAATTGTGGAGAAAGGAAAGTATTGCTCTTTTTTAATTAGAGTCACGGTATTTCTTTTCTTAGAAGCTGGATGTATTTAATTTATTTAT